AACCATTTCCTGTAGTAACTTTCTGTGAGGGAGCTTTTAGGGGTGGACGTCTGGTTCCTATCACCACCACTGTGAACAGTTCTGACTGGGCAATATGACATTCATCATTATTGTGATACACCACATTACGATACGTCATAATAAGCTTTTCTGAAAATAGTGGATCAGTACCATAAGAAACACCTCCCAGCTGTATGTCTGATTAAAGAGAGAGCATAATTAGTTCTGTTTAATTAGATTATGTGCAGTGCAGTGTGTGAAATGAAGATAAATCTCTGTATTTATTCGTTTTTAATTGGATTTTTTAAAACGTGGCACAATGTTGTCTCTTCCAAGCATATTTGGACTTGTATACTACAGTGTTTTTCCAAATCGCCCACCTCTACATGGCAAGCATGACTTTGTTCACATCTTAACCATTTATCTATGTGGAGATTTGCTTTTTTGGTCATTCTGATTAAAACGCTGATACGAAGATGTGCAAAGGTGCATCGTTCTCTCAAAAAAGGAGCCCAGATTTCTGTATATCTAATCCACGGTTATACACCAGCATAACGAGACACAGCCTCTAAAAGGCGGCTGGTTTGCTACACGTGCCTCACAGATAAACGTGGTAATAGTTTTACTGCACATACCTGCTGTTATCACTGCGTAAATCCTTCTACAACCACAAAGAGCTGTATAAAGTTCTGAGCATGTGCACTGAAGCCACAGAGAAATCACGCCCAGTGGACTCATTTCATTCATAAACCTTCAACCGCAACAAGCAGCAAGAATGCCTTCATTGCATGAGCATATTTTACATTCAAATGCAGCTTCTTTACACACTTACACGAGCTAAACCACCAGATTTGAAGGGATCATCGCGAGAAAAATCTATTTTACACCATTTTCACCCAAATGTAGTCGATCAGCCAAGTCATGTCTGCTGTCTGAGGTTTCTTCTTAAGTTTTGCACTGGAGCTATGAGGCTAATATGGCTAACAAGTACTGGAAGTTTTAGTTATACAGCAATTAGCATCGTACTAACTTGCCTTAAAGTGCATCAGGTTGTCCAGTAATCTCTAATACACTCCAAGCTCTACTGTAAAAAAATCTAGGCGTCTCCCTTTTGATACACGTGTGCAACATCAATAGAACTGCATTCTTTGCGTAACATCACAAAACTACGCAATATTCTAGCCCTAAACGATGCGGAAAAGCTGGTGCATGTCTTTCTAACCTCCAGGCTGGACTATTGCAACACCACTTTGGCTGGATGCTCCAAAACGTTACTAAATAAGCTCCATCTGGTCCAGAATGCAGCTGCTAGTCGTTACAAGGACCAAAAAGTCTGATCATGTATCCCCAATCCTGTCATCATTACACTGGCTACCTGTTAAATTCGGTGTAGAGTATAAGATCCTTCTCTTAACGTACAAATCGTTAAACGGCCCCACAGTATCGTAGTGAATTAATTCAGTCATATGAACCCACACGTACGATCACAAAACAACGGCCTGCTGACGGTTCCTAGAATCAGAAAAACCACAGCAGGGGGTCGAGCTTTTTCCCACACAGCAGAAACTTCATATCTTTTTGTCTTAACAGGTCAAGATAAGATTTGTCATAAACTCATATCGGAAAAGCAAATCTGATCTTATCTTACAGCATCTTTTCTTATCTCAAATTAAGAATTCTTAACCCACTCGATCAAAGTCGACAATCAAATGTCACATCGATTACCTAGCAACCAAACATACAAGCACAGCTGAAACATAAACACGTTATCAAAATAATCAAGCTAGTTAGCCAGGTAGCTAACATTAGCTACCGTTACTGATGTGCAAAAAGGTAGAATAAAACTAAAGCGTGATAAACTGAGAGTTAAGAATATTATGTCAGCGCTTCGTGCTGTCTATCAGAGCGTCGCCGTCTCCAGTTTCAGTCTCCATTTCCCAAATGCTTTAGCTGAGCGCGCTAACATTACTCTTCCTAATAAACAGACACACGTTCAGCTCTGTCTCCTTATTATTCCAGCCATTTTTCCACCATCACTGTAATATTTCATCTGACGAGTTTTCATCAGCATTAACACACAAAGGTAATAAGAGGGACAGTGGAGACTGAGGGTTTGGAAATCGTCTGGGTTTTTTAAAAACACTGTTAAAAAAACACAGTCAAAGCACCATTTTCAGTGTAGATAAACGTAGCATCATTATGCTGGTTATAGTGTACTTTGCTACCTGTCACTGCATAAAACGATAGAAACAGACAGTTAAAACAGAAGTTAAGACGCTCTGGGGTTTATCTTAAAGTTAGGACAGAATTTAGGAAATCTTGTCTAGTTAGGATGTTTCTGTAATACTGTTTTCTTATCTGGGGTTAGGATGAGACTAAGAACTTAAGAACTGTTGTTCTGTATTATACAACAGTTAGTTCCAACCATGCAAGCTGATTGGTCGAGAGGCGTTCTAACCATGCTGTTATTTCGCCATAACATCACAGGTTTTTCACAAACACTATCACTCCGCTGAGACGCTGTTGCTAAGCGACGACTTTGACAGCTGGAGGAGACGCTCAAGCCATTTGAACGTTTTTACCTCTTACTTTGCCACAAACAGAAAACGGACACTTTAAAGATCACGTTTGACCGACAGCCGATTTGGTCAGACTCGAAGATGAGACGACACTAAATTCCCAAACTGTCATCACCACTGAGCAGCTTTTAAGTCGGCAGCTGTGACAGAAGAACAGCTGAACAACCTGGAATCAGCCAGAAATGAACCCAACACCATTCGCCAAACTAAATGGGCTGTAAGATGCTTTACAGACTGGCTGGAACAAAACAACATTAATACTGATCTGGCAAAAACTGACAAAACTGAGCTGAACTTGATATTGCGGCAGTTTTATGGCTCAGTCTGTCCTTCAAAAGGCGAGGCTCACAGCAGACTGAGCAGTGAGTGGGCGGAGCTCGTTACTCTGACGTAGCAACAAGCTGCTTGTTAAGGAACTATAATTTGGTGAAGGAACTGCGAACATTAAAACATATTAAACGCCGCGTTCACGGCCCAGTTTATTAATTTATTACTGTATTTATTTAACTGTTGTATAAAAGCAGTAGAACACTCGAGGAGTGTGTTATCGCCAATAACATCACGGCTGTGATGATCTACGGCGACCAAATCACAGCCGTGATGTTATTTCGCAACAACACACTCCCTCTTGGGTTCTATTGCTTAAATAGCTTCTGTCCTCAATTCAGTCCTGACTGAAGTTGTCATGGTGACTAAACAGATAAGATTTCCGACTTAATCTGAAATCTGTAATATGGCCCCTGCTCAGCAGTTCACGGCTGCTTGGCAACAACAGCGTACACTAAAGGAGCTACATTTCAAACACTTAGAACGTACATATTTAACGCTGTTACCATTTTATAAAAGCAGTAAAAAAGTCAAAACCATGTTACAGTTTACCTCTTATGTTCGTCGCGCCTGAGAACACAACAATAGAAACTAGTGGCTTATTGCCTTATCATGCAACAGCCCATAAACTCGCTGACCTTAAGGTTTTCATCCTAATTCATTCTGTTGGTCTTTTTTTCAGCAGTGAGTCTTAATGGGACCATTAAGAAACCATCAAATGCATCTGTTCAACACCACCAGGCACCAAGAGATCCTAACAGTTTCTTTGATTTTTTTCAGCAGGGTGGTCACCTGCCAAACCAGCATATCGCTGTTGTGGTCCATTGCTGGTCAGCACTAATAATTTTTTAGGCTGACCAGCAACAAAACCAGCATATTTTGAACGTTGGTACGCTGATCAACCAGTATGACCATGCTGGGTGACCAGCATAAACCAGCATCAGACCAGCACTACAACAGCACAAACACGCTTAGACCAGCAGGGAGGAGAGTTGCTACACTCTTAAAGAAGATGAGTCTTCAAGGGTTCTTCAGTAAAGACAATGGTTCTGTTTAGAACCTTTCATGCTTAAATGATTCGTTGCATGGCGAAATGGTTCTTCACATTGGTAGAGAATGTGCTGTGTATGGTTCTATATAGAATCATTTTGAAAATGGTTCTAAATTGTGCTAAAAAGGGTTCTGCTGTTGTACCAGTGTCAAGCAACAGAACCCTCTTGGTGCTAAACAGAACCTTTTTGAAAACGGTTCTATATAGCACAAAAGGGGTTCTGCTATTGTACGAATGTCAAGCTTGTAACAGCAGCAGAACCCTCTTGGTACTAAACAGAACCTATGAAAATAATGTGTGTGTGAGTGTGTTTGTGTGTGTACAACAAAACAACAAGCTTGTAACAATAGCAGAACCATCTTAGTGCTAAACAGAACCTTTTGGAAAATGGTTCTACAAAGCACAAAAAGGGTTCTGCTATTGTACCAATGTCAAGCTTGTAACAGCAGCAGAACCCTCTTGGTGCAAAACAGAACCTTTTTGAAAATGGTTCTATATAGCACAAAAAGGGTTCTGCTGTTGTATCAATGTCAAGATTGTAACAACAGCAGAAACCTAAAGAGAACAAAAAAGGGTTCTGCTACTGTATCAATGTCAAGCTTGTAACAACTGCAGAACCCTCTTGGTGCTAAATAGAACCTATGAAAATAATGTGTGTGAGTGTGTGTGTTGTTTGTGTGTACAACAAAACAACAAGCCAAGCCTGTAACAGCAGCAGAAACCTCTTGGTGCTAATCAGAACCTTTTGGAAAATGGTTCTATTAACAAATATTGTTACAAGTTTGACATCATCATAATACCAAAGCCTGTTTTGATGCTATATATTCAAACTGATTCTATACACACACAACAACAACAACAACAACAACAACAACATATTCTCCATCAATCTGAAGAACCATGAAAGCGTGAAACTGTTCTATAAAGAACTCACGGTTCTACACAGACCCATTCCCTTTACTAAAGAGCCCTAAAGAGTGTGGGGCTTCAGTGATGACCCCAGACACCTGTTGCAGGTCCCACAGACCTCCACAGTGACTCACCTGGTTTGGTCTGAGAGGTTCTCCAGGCTTCAGTCTGGTCCTTCACTGTTATCTGGGCCATGTTCTCCAGGCCGAGCTGCCGCAGGTGGATGGTGGTGCTGGAGTCCTCTTCACTCGTCTCATCACCTCACCTTCTCTCTTCTTCTCCTCTCTGGGAAACGAATAAACGACAACACAGCGTCAACACAGGAGCGCCAGCGAGCCCCTTCCACTCTTTAAAGCCGGTCCCCAACCCCAGACCAGGTCCAAGAGCCGCTGCCATCAATGTTTATCTAAGTTAGCAGCTGCTTTCCGTTCACTTCACGGCTGATTACAGCTCCAACTCGCCGAGTGACGCGGACTAGGTTCAGCACAGAGACCCATCCGAGGTCCTGCTGCCTGTGTGCGGCTACAGAACCGCTCTAATTCTTCACAAACCGGGTCGGAGACCCACAGTAAACTTAGCTAACCTACCTGCTGCTCCGGTGCCGCCGCCGCCATTTTAAAACAAACTTCCCAACAATGTGTGTGTGTTAGTGAGAGAGAGAGACACACACACACACACAGAGAGCGAGAGAGAGAGAGAGCGCCTCGACCTGAGCACCTGAGGAACAATAACAACAGCAGGAGAATCAGCCCCGCTGCTCTCAGAGGGACACAGCACCTGTCTTACTCTCACACACTCACAGTTCAGTTCAGTTCACCCACACGGCGAGCCGCTTCGGCTCCTCGGAGCCCCTTCATTCATCTCAAGCTGCGCGCTAACATCAGGAAGTTCGGCATGAAGATGCTAACTCTCCTGGGAGGAAGCGCGGATGAGAGCTCTGCTCGTTTGACCCCGTACTATGTCGAAAAAGACCGGTTAGGGTTGTTTTTATTGTTATGTGTCGTTAATAATAAGTCTATAAACGCTCTGATTGCACATGTGCTTTTAGAGACGCTCAGTGTTCTTAACGTCGCTCTGTCCGCATTAGTAAAACGTTACAGTGGGCGCTGCTCCAATTCAGGAAGGAAAGCAGCCCCGACTGTCTGCTGACTTCCCCTAGTGTACAACCGCCACCTGACTTTAGCCTAGCTTCCCTAGTTTAAACACTGCCTTTAGACTAGCTCCCCTACTGTAAACACTGACTTTACTCTAGCTGCCCTACTATAAACACTGACTTTAGCCTAGCTTCCCTACTGTAAACACTGACTTTAGACTAGCTCCCCTACTGTAAACACTGACTTTAGTCTAGGTTCTCTACTGTAAACACTGACTTTAGCCTAGCTTCCCTACTGTAAACACTGACTTTAGACTAGCTCCCCTACTGTAAACACTGACTTTAGTCTAGGTTCTCTACTTTAAACACTGACTTTAGCCTAGCTTCCCTACTGTAAACACTGACTTTAGACTAGCTCCCCTACTGTAAACACTGACTTTAGCCTAGCTTCCTTACTGTAAACACTGACTTTAGTCTAGCTCCCCTACTGTAAACACTGACTTTAACCTAGCTTCCCTTCTATAAACACTGCCTTTAGACTAGCTCCCCTACTGTAAACACTGACTTTAGACTAGCTCCCTACTGTAAACACTGACTTTAGTCTAGTTCTCTACTTTAAACACTGACTTTAGACTAGCTCCCCTACTGTAAACACTGACTTTAGTCTAGGTTCTCTACTTTAAACACTGACTTTAGCCTAGCTTCCCCTACTTTAAACACTGACTTTAGCCTAGCTTCCCTTCTATAAACACTGCCTTTAGACTAGCTCCCCTACTGTAAACACTGACTTTAGCCTAGCTTCCCTACTTTAAACACTGACTTTAGTCTAGCTTCCCTACTTTAAACACTGACTTTAGTCTAGCTTCTCTACTTTAAACACTGACTTTAGCCTAGCTTCCTTACTTTAAACACTGACTTTAGCCTAGCTTCCCAACTTTAAACACTGACTTTAGTCTAGCTCCCCTAGTTTAAACACTGACTTTAGTCTAGCTCCCCTAGTTTAAACACTGACTTTAGCCTAGCTTCCCTACTTTAAACACTGACTTTAGCCTAGCTTCCCTACTGTAAACACTGACTTTAGACTAGCTCCCCTACTTTAAACACTGACTTTAGTCTAGGTTCTCTACTTTAAGCACTGACTTTAGCCTAGCTTCCCTACTTTAAACACTGCCTTTAGACTAGCTCCCCTACTGTAAACACTGACTTTAGTCTAGGTTCTCTACTTTAAACACTGACTTTAGACTAGCTCCCCTACTGTAAACACTGACTTTAGTCTAGGTTCTCTACTTTAAACACTGACTTTAGCCTAGCTTCCTTACTTTAAACACTGACTTTAGCCTAGCTTCCCTTCTTTAAACACTGACTTTAGACTAGCTCCCCTACTGTAAACACTGACTTTAACCTAGCTGCCCTACTGTAAACACTGACTTTAGTCTAGCTTCCCTAGTTTAAACACTGACTTTACCTTAGCTCCCCTACTTTAAACACTGACTTTAGTCTAGGTTCTCTACTTTAAACACTGACTTTAGCCTAGCTTCCTTACTTTAAACACTGACTTTAGCCTAGCTTCCCAACTTTAAACACTGACTTTAGTCTAGCTCCCCTAGTTTAAACACTGACTTTAGTCTAGCTCCCCTAGTTTAAACACTGACTTTAGCCTAGCTTCCCTACTTTAAACACTGACTTTAGCCTAGCTTCCCTACTGTAAACACTGACTTTAGACTAGCTCCCCTACTTTAAACACTGACTTTAGTCTAGGTTCTCTACTTTAAGCACTGACTTTAGCCTAGCTTCCCTACTTTAAACACTGCCTTTAGACTAGCTCCCCTACTGTAAACACTGACTTTAGTCTAGCTTCCCTACTGTAAACACTGACTTTACCTTAGCTCCCCTACTCTAAACACTGACTTTAGCCTAGCTGCCCTACTGTAAACACTGACTTTTGTCTAGCTCCCCTACTTTAAACACTGACTTTAGCCCAGCTTCCTTACTTTAAACACTGACTTTTGTCTAGCTCCTCTACTTTAAACACTCACTTTAGACTAGCTCCCCTACTTTAAACACTGACTTTAGTCTAGGTTCTCTACTTTAAACACTGACTTTAGCCTAGCTTCCCTACTTTAAACACTGCCTTTAGACTAGCTCCCCTACTGTAAACACTGACTTTAGTCTAGCTTCCCTACTGTAAACACTGACTTTACCTTAGCTCCCCTACTGTAAACACTGACTTTAGCCTAGCTGCCCTACTGTAAACACTGACTTTTGTCTAGCTCCCCTACTTTAAACACTGACTTTAGCCCAGCTTCCTTACTTTAAACACTGACTTTTGTCTAGCTCCTCTACTTTAAACACTGACTTTAGCCCAGCTCCCCTACTTTAAACACTGACTTTAGCCGATCTTCCTTACTTTAAACACTGACTTTAGCCTAGCTTGCCTAATTTCGATACCTGACTACCCCTAGCATTCTTACTTTAAACACTGACTTCCCCTAGATTCCTTATTTGAAACACTGACTTTCCCTAGCATTCTTACTTTAAACACTGACTTCCCCTAGATTCCTTATTTGAAACACTGACTTTCCCTAGCATTCTTACTTTAAACACTGACTTCCCCTAGCGTAGAAGTGTCAACACCTAACTTTACCTTACCATCCTTACTTTAAAGATTGAATTGCCCTAACATTCAACTGTCAACACCAGATTTTACTCTCACTTTCTTACTTTAACCACTGACGTACCCTGGCGTACAACCATCAACGCTTGACTTTATCTGAGAATTCCTTACTTTAAACACTGACTTTCCCTAGTCTGTCTAACTTCAATACCTGACTACTCCTAGCATCCTTACCTTAAACACTAATTTTCCCTAGCCCTAGCTTCCTTACCTTAAATACTGACTTTCCCTAGCCTGCCTAACTTCAACACCTGACTACCCCTAGCCTCCTTACCTTAAACACTGACTTTCCCTAGCCTGCCTAACTTCAACACCTGACTACCCCTAGCTTCCTTACCTTAATCACTGACTTTCCCTAGTGTGCCTAACTTTGATACCTGACTACCCCTAACCTCCTTACCTTAATCAGTGACTTTCCCTAGCCTGTCTACCTACGACACCCGACTACCCCTAGCTTCCTTACCTTAAACACTGACTTTCCCTAGCCTGCCTAACTTTGATACCTGACTACCCCTAGCCTCCTTACCTTAATCACTGACTTTCCCTAGCCTGTCTACCTACGACACCCGACTACCCCTAGCTTCCTTACCTTAAACACTGACTTTCCCTAGCCTGCCTAACTTTGATACCTGACTACCCCTAGCCTCCTTACCTGAAACACTGACTTTCCCTAGCTTCCCTACTTTAAACACTGCCTTTAGACTAGCTCCCCTACTGTAAACACTGACTTTACCTTAGCTCCCCTACTGTAAACACTGACTTTAGCCTAGCTGCCCTACTGTAAACACTGACTTTAGCCTAGCTCCCCTACTTTAAACACTGACTTTAGCCCAGCTCCCCTACTTTAAACACTGACTTTAGCCCAGCTTCCTTACTTTAAACACTGACTTTAGCTTAGCTTCCCTAGTTTAAACACTGATTTTAGCCCAGCTTCCCTACTGTAAACACTGACTTTAGCCTAGCTTCCCTACTTTAAACACTGACTTTAGCCTAGCTTCCTTACTGTAAACACTGACTTTAGCCTAGCTTCCTTACTTTAAACTCTGACTTTAGCCCAGCTTCCTTACTTTACACACTTACTTTAGCCGATCTTCCTTACTTTAAACACTGACTTTAGCCTAGCTTCCTTACCTTAAACACTGACTTTCCCTAGCATTCTTACTTTAAACACTGACTTCCCCTAGATTCCTTATTTGAAACACTGACTTTCCCTAGCATTCTTACTTTAAACACTGACTTCCCCTAGCGTAGAAGTGTCAACACCTAACTTTACCTTACCATCCTTACTTTAAAGATTGAATTGCCCTAACATTCAACTGTCAACACCAGACTTTACTCTCACTTTCTTACTTTAACCACTGACGTACCCTGGCGTACAACCATCAACGCTTGACTTTATCTGAGAATTCCTTACTTTAAACACTGACTTTCCCTAGTCTGTCTAACTTCAATACCTGACTACTCCTAGCATCCTTACCTTAAACACTAATTTTCCCTAGCCCTAGCTTCCTTACCTTAAATACTGACTTTCCCTAGCCTGCCTAACTTCAACACCTGACTACCCCTAGCCTCCTTACCTTAAACACTGACTTTCCCTAACCTGCCTAACTTCAACACCTGACTACCCCTAGCTTCCTTACCTTAATCACTGACTTTCCCTAGTGTGCCTAACTTTGATACCTGACTACCCCTAGCTTCCTTACCTTAATCACTGACTTTCCCTAGCCTGTCTACCTACGACACCCGACTACCCCTAGCTTCCTTACCTTAAACACTGACTTTCCCTAGCCTGCCTAACTTTGATACCTGACTACCCCTAGCTTCCTTACCTTAAACACTGACTTTCCCTAGCCTGCCTAACTTTGATACCCGACTACCCCTAGCTTCCTTACCTTAAACACTGACTTTCCCTAGCCTGCCTAACTTTGATACCTGACTACCCCTAGCCTCCTTACCTTAATCACTGACTTTCCCTAGTGTGCCTAACTTCGATACCTGACTACCCCTAGCTTCCTTACCTTAATCACTGACTTTCCCTAGCCTGTCTACCTATGACACCCGACTACCCCTAGCTTCCTTACCTTAAACACTGACTTTCTCTAGCCTGCCTAATTTCGATACCTGACTACCCCTAGCATTCTTACTTTAAACACTGACTTCCCCTAGATTCCTTATTTGAAACACTGACTTTCCCTAGCATTCTTACTTTAAACACTGACTTCCCCTAGATTCCTTATTTGAAACACTGACTTTCCCTAGCATTCTTACTTCAAACACTGACTTCCCCTAGCGTAGAAGTGTCAACACCTAACTTTACCTTACCTTAAACACTGACTTCCCCAGCCTCCTTCCCTTAAACACTGACTTTCCCTAGCTCCCCAGCCTTCTTCCCCTAAACACTGACTTTACCTTGCCTCCTCTGCATTCTTCCCTTAAACACTATCCTTTTTTCAGCACTAGACTTTCCATTAGCCCCCTTCCCTTCAACACAGACCTTCCCAGCCTCTGTACTTTAAAGGCTGAACTATTCTAGTGTCATTACCTTCAAGAGCTAACGCTTTCTAGCTTGATTACCTCCAACCCCCAAGTCTCCTCGGCTCCTTTGCTTTAAATGAAGCTGATATCCTCTGGCCTTCTTCCCAATGACAGCTGGGATAGGCTCCAGCACCCCTCTCTAAGCAGTTTAGATGGTGGGTGTGTGTGTGTGTTTCCTCTGTCCTCTCTACTTTCAACATCTACTTCCTGTCCTACAACCAAATAAAAAAAACAATGTGTCATAATGGGAAACTGTAGTTATTTGAACACTATCCTTGCCATCATACTTAATTATATGGTTTTGTGCTTCTGGACGTGGAATACGAGCTCATGTTAAACTTGAACCTCTCTGGTCTGAGTGGTGTGTATATAAAAATGTCACCATCTTGTCAGTTTTCTATCGATGGGCTTCTCTCCGGCTGAAGAGCGGTTATAGTTCTCCTCTTCACCTCCATGAAACTGTGACTGTACGGGATCCACTTCCCCAAAAACAGCTTCTATTACAGAAATGTCTGGGCAGAATGTTCCTCAATGGGCAAACCACAAACCTCAGATGATTTAACAATGACACACTGTGTGAGATCACAGGAACCTCTTTCTTGAGACCTTTGAACAAAATTAGGCCCCAGGCGAACAGTTTTGAATAGACATTCAGTACGTTGGGCCATTTATCTCCACTTACTCCGTGTCCCAGTTTGGGGCAGGCGATAAAATAGTGAGTTTAGGTCAAAAATATAGTACAGATACATGGAAGCCCAAGGAATAATACTTCTTATTTAATTACTGATATTTTTAATGTGTGGTAAGCCTACTGGTAGACTAACAGGCAAGCAAAATCCATTTTCAGTCCACAAGATGGCGCTAAGAAGTTGTTTTTTTGTTTGTTTCTGGTGAGGCCAAGGCTTCTGTCAGTGGCGCTGTTGGAAGGGATAGATAAGAATGTCAGCCAGAATGTCAAAAGTTCAAAAGTATAAAGCTTCTATGCATAAAAAGAGCCAATCGCAATAGAATTGAGTCATTCAGAGTGGTTTGGTGTGAAACGCTCTGTTCTAGAGAAACTTAGAGCCTGAATTGTTCACAGTGGTGGTGATAGGAACCAGACGTCCACCTCTAAAAGCTCCCTCACAGAAAGTTACTACATGAAATGGTTATGAATTCACTGCCTGATGACTGAGACACTGTTTTATGATAGTTTTGAGAACTTAAACTCCATTCATAGTGGAGGGATACATAACATGCAGGGTGCTGTGAGGCAAAATAGTCCCCAAAGAAAACTTATTTCAGATGTTCCACTATTTTCCATCATCAACATTCCATATAAACTCAGAAGACTCGTGTAGGTTCACTGGTGGTTCTGGATAGTAAATAAAATGTCTATATTTGAGTTGTAGTCATGGCGACCCCTGGTTCCTATCACCACCACTGTAAAGACATCTGATTGAAATTGAATTTTCCTTGCATTATAGTTTTGATATGCAGTATGTAAACACTGTTGAAGGACAATTCACTGCCCAGTCCAGACAGCCCCTTTAAAGACACTAAAGAGCAAAAACAGGCTGTCGAATTCATGAATTTATCATTTTTGTGATGTCGCAAACCATCATATATATATATATATATATATATGACCTATTTGGCCAACAGCAGTTTACATTGAAATTAGTGCCTCAGTCTGGGCTGCTTACAGAAAGAGGCACAATTCGGGGCAGCCAATCAGAACACAGTTCATTTACATATGTCCGTCTTAAAGGCGCAGTAACAAAAACAGCCTGTTTCTAAGTTCTAGGTTTCTAAGGAAAATGGTCACGTAGAAATTAAGTAGGACTGTTTTGGCACACAAAACCACACAAACGTCACAGGCAGACCTCTGAGGAGAAACCAAGTACAAGAAAAGTGTGGGACAGTTGCCCTTTAACCACTCCAACACAAGGGATTCAAGTGTGAAGCCATCTGCGACGTACATTCGATCAGGAGTTCATTATTTATCACCAACATGGGCTCATATTTTAACTCAGTACACAAGCAGATATACTCAATCCTTTATTAGAGATTTAGAAACTCAAGAATGAAACAAAATTTGGTGGAGATGTACATGGAATTAGAACAATATTTCCACTTTTTTGGGGGAGTGGGGTGGGTGGGGGTGGTGGCACTGAGGTGATGACTCAGAACAGGTGTTGGAGAGGAGACAGTGGTGGGGTAGGTACCACTGGGCTGGATGAAAGACTGTTACAGAGAAGAATGGATGGACAGGAGAGAAAATAAAACCTCAGGTGCTCAGTGCTTCCGAAACCATCCCAAGTCAACGTTAAAGCTCACTGGCGCAGCCTCGATGGCCTTTTCCCCCCTGCCGGCCACCAAGCCTTTCCTCCCACCATGCAAAACAAAGCCAAGGAACAGAAACGAGATGACAAAGTCTACTAAATCCAATCTCCCACAAAAATAAAATAACTGTGATGCAGGAACAAACTGATTAGTCTGCTTTTAAACGGATGTTTTAGTGAGGACCCACATACACTCGCACGCACACAAACCAGCGTTACTTAAAAGCAAAACAAAATAAAACACTCCTGCAGGTTTCTTACAACTTTAAAACCTTTTTTGCCGTTTAAGCAAAGCAAAACAGGGACTCGGACGCCAAATTAAAACGATATCAACCTCGATGACCTCATGCGTCATTTTTCTGATCACTGAAACCTCTTTAGTAAACGCTGTTATCATTCTTCTCAGACATCTGTTTAATGTTCTCTAGGATGAAAACAATAATAATAATAATAGTAATAACAATAATAATGCTTATTTAGACTTGTGTTATAAATACAGGTACCATCTGTGGTCAACAGTGGCTAAGTGCCAAGGGGGGGTGTTTCGAAAGGAAAGTATTAGAGAAATAAATCAGCATCTTTTGTGCCGTTTTATTAAACGAACTTCAAATATTATTCATTTATTAGAGTTTTTTAATAATAAATAACCGTCTTTGTTGGACTGAGTTAAACATATTTTTGTTATACAGCAGCCGAATTAGGCTACTGCACTGGTTCTTCCCAAAATGTAGCTGTAGTAATAATTATAGTAATAATATTAATAATAATAATAATAATTTAATAGTTCATCCACTAGCAGGCGCAACCATAAAGTTAAATGCACAGATTCTGGCAATAGAAACCCACACTACATTATTTTATCTAGTAATATTTACAGATTTAGACATAAATATCACTAGATCCATCCCTCCTTGGCCCTTAGGCTGGATTCAGGGCAGATATCAGAGCATTTTGCCAAATATGAAGACTCAAAATGGGAAATCTATACTTTTTATGAATTGAATGTAGTGTGCTGATGACTGCAGCAATGGTAGGGGTAGTTATTTGCTTTCAGACTCTCAAACTAAATGAAAACATCCCATTTTCTCACAACATTAGCATCTCATTACAAAACAAGCAAGCATACAGTCGCCAAGTTCAAATTTGATTTGATTAGTAGTCAAAAAAACCATAAACTACCAGCCAATTCAAACCTATTTTTTCAGGAATCTGTTGTTTTTTTCCCCTCTATGTGTTTTTCACATTCCAAACATGACTCAGCATTCAGATGACAATATTCACACATTAATAGGTTCACTCGAGAAAGTACACACACTAGCAAACATGAAGAAAATGAGGGACAAACAGATTATTTCAAAAACACCACACCTGAAAATATTTACCAATTTTATACGCACAGCGCTGCGCGAAAGTCAGAAACCAACCTCCGTATTTAATTTACAGGAAAAAAAGCCATCGAGTTTCCAGGATATTTCTGAGGAGATTAGATAATGTGGTAACACTTTACTTGAAGGGTGTCTACATAACGCATTCATAACATCTTACACAAGTGCTTCATAACATGTTCATGAATGTTTAAATCATCATTCATTACGCATGGATGTTTTACATGATATTAATACGGACTACTATGTCGTTTTACTGAGACATTTTCCAAAACAGAAGTTCTCAATTTATTATTTTCAGTAAAAAGCCTTATTTCCCGATAGCCAAAACAGAAATCACCTTGTTTAATACCTGTGGTCATTAAGTGCTTTGACACTAAGCCACATCGTCATACTAAGATTCAGTCGAATGACTGCTCCTAAGCATATTTAATTCATTGTCCATGTAGTAAAGTGACAAAAGATAACAAATGCTTAAGAAAAAACAGATAATTAAAAAGAAATCAAAAGTATCGGTGAAACGTGTCTGAGCATCAAAGCACTTAATGACCAAAGGGATGAAGCGAGGTCATTTTTACTTTGGCTTTCCAGAAATGAAGCATTTTACTGAAAATAACATACTTTTTCAAAGAAAAAATGAGGACTTTTATTTTGAAAACTGTATCTTAGCAGAATGACATTGTAGTCTATACTAATATAATGTAAAACGTGTACTTTATAAATGTTCATTTAAACATTCATGAACTTTATGAAGTGTTAATGTAAGATGTTATGAATGTGTTATGTAGACACCCTTACGTTATGTGTTATGTAGACAAGTGTTACTGGTAATACACTCTCCTAAGAAAGGAGAAAGTCTAAGAGAAAAAAAAACAGGAGTTTTCAAAAACTGATTAAAATCTACAGAGAAAATACCTCCTAACAACCACCTGGAAGACCTGGTAGACCCCAAAAACTGCCCCCATCAGATAAACAGCACTTAAAGCTTTCATCTCTGAGAGAGAGGAGAAAATCAAGCTGCTTCAGATCTGAAAACATCCACAGGTGTTTCTGTCCATCCTTCCACTGAGAGAAGACGACTCAGCGCTGTGGGTCTGAGGATGGGTGTGTAGCTGTCAAGAAGAACCTCACTGAGAAAAGGAGACGGACACATCAAACAAAGAGCTGAACGATGGACTGACCACCCCAGAGTCCAGACCTCAACACCACTGAATGTGTTTGATTACTTCAGAAAATCATCAACCAGCTTCTAAGACTGAACATTGGAGGTGTGTCTGCAGATTCTTTGAGGAGCTGAAAGTGAGTCTCCTGAAAAGAATATAAGCTGTAATGAAGGTAAAGAGAGACTCACTGACTCACACAGCTGAGATTAGAGTTAGCTGTTTCCTGCTTTGTTCCTGACACTGAACACTGAATAACTTACACTTAATTTTGACTGGAAATGAAATAAATGGTCTCTGACTTTTGCGCAGAACTGTACCTTTTAACATTTCAGTACATTCTTTGAACAAACTGCCAATTTCAGATCTAAATGTTTGAATTTGTAGTGTCTACATTCTTCTGCCTCTTTTCCAGCCTTTAGTCATTCACGCTACTGCTGGGGAAAAAAAGGCAGCCCACACCAAAACGTATTACTCAATTGGCAGACTGAAAGTAGACATATATATATATATATATATGTAAAAAAAAAAAAAAAAAAAGAGGGCAAAGGAAACAAAATAAAACACCTTTTTTAACAAAAAAAAACAACTGCTATCGTAGCCCGTAGCTCTTCTGGGGAAAATAAAAGAACCCTCAGCCGTCACACGTTTTACTCTTCATGGGAACAGATTCATTAAATCAGTACCGATAGAATAAACGCTGAAAAATCATGGCCACTTACTCAACGTACTCAACTGCAACTGCTACACAAGTTTGTATAGAGCACCTATAGCACCAAATGTTTTGTGCTACAGAGTTTTCAAACAAACAAAAAAAACCTTAACCATCAGGTGTCCCTGTAAATAGAGCTATAATGTTTTTTTTTTCTTTTTATTGTCTTAAAATTATATTTTAATGAAGCATTGTACGCCTGAAGGATAGTAGATACACGTCTGTACCCCAAACTGTTAAACACAGAACTCAAACTTTCAAACTGATGGCACACCGTCTCCTTTTCCGTTATATTTTTATACTTTTCTTTCTTTTTTTTTTTGCATTTTGGGAAAAGTTTGGTGCATATTTCCTACCTCACAAACCAAAACGACTAAAGTTTCAGGAATATTTGGAAAAATATCTTTCAAAAAAAGATGGAAGATGGGAAGATATTTCATAGGACAGACCGTCAAACCGGCTGCATTCGAAGGGTCACTCGTTCGATGGAAGGAATGCCACGCCTCGACTCGTTGCTACGCTCTACGCGTTACGGAGAAAAGAAAAGGAACCGCCGCTACTACGGGAGTAAAGACGAAAACGAGAGGATGAGGTCATGGGGCTTTTTTTTTTGCGACCTTGTTTTTGGTGGACGTTACGGTTAGGTCATAGAGCAGTTACACTGTTAGGAGTGAGAACTAGCGTGACAGCCACATGCACAATCAGTGGGACACCACAGCTCTAGTTATCCTAGGTCAAACAAAAGAAAAAAATAAAAAGATTAGCAAGAAACCTTACATGGGGTTCAAGTAGAAGATCACTGTTATCACCTGACTCTGTACTGTCAACTAAAGATCATTCTTATCACCTAACTGACTTTTTTGTCATCAAAATGGATTAACGTTGGAATACACAGACTTCAAACAAATCTAGAATAAATGCCCTCAGATAGAACATCGGTAGGCAGCTCCCCCCATTCTTTTAGTTTTTTTTGGTTGATGGTGCTGACAGAGGGCTGAGGTGAACTCAAACTGAACGAGTATCAAAGGGGGGGGTCGGCTGAGGAGGCCTTTCTCTGGATGCTGCGGGCCCAGGGGTCTGCTGTTCTGATGAAGGCCCTGCTCTTGCTCCTCCTCCTCCGCTGGGTTCACGTGAAAAAAACTGGACGCAGAGGAGGAGAAAGCAAACGGCTGAAGCATTTCAGCTCGGTTCTGCGTTGCCATGCCTCTGTGTTGAGCAGCAAAGTCATATGTTACTGCTTCCTGAAGGAAGAAAGACAGAAAAAAAATAATAAAACATGCATTCATCACTGATTTTTCTTTCCAAATAAAAAATAAGAAAAATAATAATAAAAGTTTACTTATATGGCTTTTTTCATTTTAGTTTAAATAATATCCAAGGTCTTTACACATAAAGATAAGCAAAGCATTATAAAAATACATTTAAGATTTAAATGCACACACTGCAGATTCATACCGGATTACAATCGTGCCACAATTATTACCGTCAGACTGTTAAAACTACACACTCATTTTGTGTTCTTACCTGTGCACTGAGACCCTGAAAACATGGATGAGCAGAGAGTGTTCTGCCACCAGCACTCCTCCGGCTGGCTACTCCTCACACTCTGCTCTCCAAAACTCAACAGGGGAAACTAATGAAAGAAGCAGATAAGAAAAAGGAAGCGTGTATTAGAGAAAGAAACGTTTTCATGTTAGTTTAAAATATGTCTTTGAAGGCTGTGGAAGGCAAAGTGCCTTGCAAACGGATGGATTCCTTTGGATCCCTGCACTTTCAGAAATAAAGGTACTAAACGGTCACTGGGGTGGGACCCTCAAGGGTCCATCTCAGTACCTTCAGTCAGGGAACATAACTGAACCATAATCCACTGAAATGATATGTTCTAAGCTGTACTGACTCCACACACCCCGTCTCGCCTCCAGGCTTTTATTTTACTGTTCTGTTTTAAAACATTCGGTTATGAAAAGGTACAAATACGAACTTTTCACCTGGAGAAACTTATTTAAGGTTCACAATCAGACCTTAAAACCACTGTTGTACCTTTGAGGGAACATTTACACTGTTTGTACCTTCATGAACAAAAAATGTACCTGAACAGAACCTTTATTAATAACAGTGTGTGATATGCCTTCACAAAGCAACATCAAATATATTCAGTATTTTCAGTAAGGATGCTCAATCATAACACAATCATGTCAGCATTGGCAGACAACTGTTCAAAAGAAATGATCTGCACAGGACAAATGTTTACATTTAACCAATAATTCAAACTGATATTTGGTGACGTGTTTATTGTGAACTGGAGGAGCAGAACATTTGGGCAACGCTGGGGCTTGTTTACTGTATTTACAAATATGTACATAAAAAAATGTCAAAATTCCTACACTGGTGCATCCCTATCATCCAGTCAGGCTAAAAAAAAAATTACAATGAACCTCATTCACCAACTTGTTCTTTCAAATTTCTTCTTAAAACCCACTTACGCAGTTTTCAGGAAGATTCTGACTCACCAGTGTTTTCTTATCTGGGATTTGTTCTTAGGTAAGAACAGAATCTACACACACTCAAGAGCACAAAGGTGAGAACCGTTCTGCGCTTTGAGAACACGTCATGAATCTGACGTAGACTTTTTCTTAGGACCTTTCTCAACAACACATTTAAGATCAAACTTAGGAAGATATTGGAGAATGAGGCCCAGTAATCTGTAAACAATAAACAGTGAATAAAATGCACAGTTAATATTAATATTCTGATATATGCTGTACTCACTTGGGATTAGTGGTTAGTGTAGTTTAAGTACTTGTCTGTACAGACATTAGCTGGGTTTCCATTCAAATGTTTTGCTAATATTATGCAAATTAAGTAGTGTTTCCATCCACTACAGTTATGTGAAGAAACTTTATAAGACGTAGGCTGCCATGATTAAGGGTTGCATCAAAACCAGCAAGATGAAGAGATTTAACTCAGTTTTGCCTTAAGTAGAATAATCTTTACAGCCATTTGCCATCTTTCTATGGCCATGTTTGAAGCTCAGAGATGCCTTGCATCTGGGAACGCAAACGCACCAGATAATTCCGGCACAACGTTGTGCAGAGCCATTTTTCAAACAAGCTTTGGATTTCAGAACGTCGAAAGCAACATTCGAAAAACTAATTACCACCTTCGGACCATCTGTAGGGCCAATTGTCTCTTTCTTACAGCTCGATACGTCATTCTTTACGCGAAAAACCCTTTTTCATCACCGTTTTGGCTATAGCAATATTCTAACTGATCCACCTCATCCTGGCGTAAAAACACCCAAATACTGCAAATACTTCAAATTTTGCGCTTTTCCATTCTTTTTCTTTTTTTTGCGTTTTCATTAATCGCAAATAATTGGTGAATGGAAAATTTGCTATTAATGTCTTAAAATGTTATTAATCTGGGTGTGAGGTTGTATGTTCTGGTGCATGTGTATGTCTGGTCGACATGCAGTCTTGGGTTGCCCAACAAAAAAATTTCCCCTAGTGGGACAATAAAGTTAATCTAATCTAATCTATTATAGACCAACTATCCCTATTTCACGTCAACCAGACTCGTCTTTGTGAGGGCCACTGGATTTGCAGGATTAGAAAATCACCTAGAGCAAAACACATTTCAAGGAAGCTTAGAAAAAGAAAGCAGATATAAATGAAGCAGGGGGTTGCATCATACCACCCCAGTGCAGGGTGTGCCCCATCAGTGCTGCAGAGCTTCTAATCATACTAAGGGCAGTCAGATAAACATTTATGACCAATAAGGATACCAATTTTAAAAAGTGGATTCTTATAGCTGATAGCCAATGACTGACAGATACTGTTTTATTTTCTCAATTAATAAGCCAAAAAACATCACTTTCACTTTTAATCCATCATTTAATTTCATCACTTTCAACTCAAACAGCAGAAACTCAAAGCTTTGAATATTATAAACATAGTTTGGGTGAGAACTGCCCAAAAACATTTGTATGTTGGTTTCTGTTTTGTGCACAGGTTCACCAGTTCAGCCTGTATTGCTGTTAAAGTTTTAAAAAAGGGGGTCATTTATATTGGGCTCACAAGTGGCACAACAATCTCAGGTTTTGCCTTATTGCCTATGTCCATGTTTGAGAGGTCGCTGGCAAAAAGTTGCTGATTCTCAGCACATCAGTGCCAACATATTCTCTGGTACTGATAAATCTACGGATTGTCAAGATCGTCAACATATCGTTCAGGCTCCGGTCACACGTGCCAAGAGCTGCGGCTTGATTCAGTGTTCAACTTCATAACATTTTACTAAAGTTTGAAAATCAATAGCTGATAAGATTTCATATGTAGTACAGTACAGTACAGACCAAGTGCCAGTTAATCAGCTACCAGATGTCACATAAATACTGACAGTGATCTAATGAATCATATACATCAGAAGTCAATCAATAATATTCTCTGGTAATGAACTGCATTCAAGACGTGCATCTGTACATACCAACTACTTGGGCAACAAACAAACAGTAATGAAAATCAATGAAATGTGGGTCTATGAAGACCTTTTAAATCAAACAAGATTCCTGTTACAAATAACGCCCCAGCATTATTAACAGCTGGACAGGAAGATGACTACACCTTTGTGCAGTTAACCCGCACGACTACGTGCCTGGTCACAATACATTACGTTGTACCATCATGTGTAGCACTTTAACACCTAGCTCTGTGCTGACCATGCTAAGACAGCGATCACGTGCTGGAGGAGCCAGTCTGATGATGCATTCACATGGCACAGAAAAAACCTACTACACTGGAAAATGACAACTGCTTTGTTGACAAACACACTAATCATTTCTGGATCAAGTCTAACGTCACTTATGACCAATTAAACCATCCTTTGCAGTGCAATATGGTGATGGCAGAAGAGCTGGAATGGTTGTTCTCAGCATTTACTTTTATTAGAGCCCAACTCTAGTGCCAGAGGGCCACAGCAATGCCACTCTTACAACACAGAGGACTGGCCTTCCTGGGTTTTCCCCCCTTTCTCAAATTGTGTGCTTCCTCTGAGCAACTTTGGCTGTGCTCATAGACTGTATTTAAGAAGTACCCCAACTATGCACCACTGTACTGTGACTCTGTACCACAGGTCCCCAACCCTGGTCCTGGAGTACCCCATCCTGCAGATTTTTGTGGTTTCCTGCTCTAAAACACCCAGCACTAGCTCGGACAGGACTTGTTAATTAGCTGATAAGTTAAATCAGGCGTGTTGGGAGCAGGGAAAACACCAAAATGTGCAGGGCAGGGGTACTCCAGGACCAGGGTTGGGAACTACTGCTCTATACTATAACTCACTCAGAAAAGCCCTGCCAACAAAGAATGAACTAAAGTCAAACATACACACAGGACGAGACACTGCAGTGTGATAGGACTGCTGTGAGAAAACAGGTGAATCCGCCCTCCTTTTCAATGTTATTTACATGTTCTCATGAACCTATCCTCTCCACTGTGTCTCGGGGGAATTTAAGGGCCTTTCCATTACTATATTAGCTCAAGTAAACTCTGTTTTAGGTTGCCTTAGAGGGGCGGGGGATCGCGCCAACATAAATATAGAATTCTACAACAGAACGTGCACAGAAAACTACAATCACATGCAATTTCCTTTTCAAACCAAAAAAAGGCATACCGCCCATAAGCCTGAAAAAAAAAGTTAAAAATACTTCACATTTCAAAACCATAACATTCAATTAGTTCTGTTCGAACTGTGTGGGCAACTTCATTACTTTGCTAGCAACCTATGGGCTACACAGTTATAAAAGAAGGATGAGAGACCATAGTTTTCATTCTAAAGCAAGACAAGTTAATGGTTCACAAAGGTCATGTACATTTCATCCTGACTTCTCAAAAAAAGTTGTATTAGTCTTGTTAGTTAGATAATAAGCTCAATGAAGTCTAGCCTAGCTGAAGTCCTACTGAAAAGAAACTGCTCCTCACTGTCATCTTTTCTTGCAAGTGTCCATCTGGGCAGCACAATGCCGAGTGTAAACCATGAGTTTAGCCCCGTTCTTCCTGTTGCAGACAATTTTTTGAGATTTGCAACAAAAAACCCCACCCCAACCTCAGTGCCTCTGATGACTGCTCGTGTTGTACAGCGATTTTCCCAGACACACCAATATTTTCAAACATATCTTAACTTCTCTGAGTGAGCGCCACTACGAGTAGTAGTAGGAGCAGAAATGAGCAGCAGCCAATGAGAACGTGAGAGAAAAATCTCAAATACTAACAGGCAAGCAATCAAAACAAGAAACATTGTGAAGGAGTTACTGTACAAAAAATGTGTGAATATTGACAAAGGCTGCTGCTCACCACCACCACAGCTGGGTTTAGAGCCTCTGAGAGAATTTTCATGGCACCTTCCACCTGTGCTGCCAATGGCCATTCACATTCTGTATGGACTCAGGATATGAAGCAAAGGCTACAGTGAAAGATTACGACAGTCACATGTCTCTCCAGTTGAAGGATCATGTAGCGCTTGAGCCTCGCCTGCAAATGCTTGTGTTGCGCACATTACCATATCATATAGTCAAGTCATATAGTGTCCACTAAGCTTTGAAAACAGAAAAGTCCCAAGGCTGAAGGGTGTTGATTATCTAGATCAGATTTCAGGTGTCACATCAGTATTTTCCCAAACCCCCATCCAAACTCTCCCTGCATTGTTTTGTTTTTGTTTTGTTTCTTCCCCTGCCCTGATACAGCCGATTCAGTTAAAGAGCCTGATAATTAGCTAATGATATGACTTAGATGTGTTAGAGAAGGGAAAGCGCAAAGCTTTGCACAGCCAAGGAGTCTCCAGGACTGCAAAGTGGCAGAGTTGGCCAGCCAAGAAGTAGGCTAATCTGATCAGCGTTAATCCTGCCGGCCGTTAAAAAGCAAGCTTTAGCACCATAACTCTAACTCTCTTTTGTACATGACAGAATTACGATATTGGAAAACTGAGAGATATATCTGATATGAATACATGTGTTGTATTTTTTGCACCACTGATGTGTGATAAAGTGACTCCTATCATGAAAGCGAGTGGTGTGGCCTGGGCAAGATCCAGAATGTTACAAAAGTGTTGGGGAAGAGGAAAGAAAAGTCTGCCTGGATAAAGTGACGCAACTCAGAGCTTAACTCGTTGTTCTGTACCTTGTTTTCCAGCCAATCAGAGGTCAGGAAACAGTTGGAAACTTTTGTAGTGCTCCAAGTGAAAGATTCGAGTAGACTAGCTCATGTTAATCCTTCTTGGTTACGTGTAAAAGTGGTTCAAGTTGAGCTGTCCATGGCCCTCAGCACACACGGAGGATTATGTGCTTTCAATTCACGCATTACAGCAAGTAGTAGAAGCAATCGCTCACATCTTGGTGTCACCCAAAGATTACCATAGATATCAGATTTCTGGCAGATTTTAAGAGAATATCGATGACTAGTTACACTCAGGACTTCTGAAAATTTTGGAACCCCCTAATCTGAGAAGCAACACAAGTGGGGGGAAAAAAAAAGTCTGGTTATCTGCAAACTTGAGGCGGACCCTGATTCATCTTCTACCACAGCGCAATGGATCTGAATCAGAGATTGAGGAAGTGGAAATCAATAGAGTAACAAATACATGAAAGAAATGTGTGAACCTTCAAAAGGTTAATTCAGATTTGCATCATTCTTTTTATCTGCGTTCCAGGTTCTCTGTTTGTTTGACAAGACCAACGGAAGTAAATCATTAACGGCCATCAACTCATGTTCATTCCCCTGAAAACCCCACAATTATCACGGAAATCTTTCTATGAAAGTTTCAGAAATTTGGCATCCGTAGGTATTAACTATGCAGTAACATAGGACCTCATTCACCAACATCTTCAAAGTTTTTCTAAAATTCTATTTGTGAAACGTCCTCAGAAAAACCTCAGATTCATGACGTGTTCTTAAACAGCAGAACTGTTCACACCTTTGTGCTCTTAAGTGTGTGTAGATTCTGTTCTTACCTAAAAACAACAAATCTCAATCTTCATAAAAAATGCTAAGTGGGTTTTAAGAAGAAGTTTCTTCCTAAGAACAGTCGGTGAATGAGGTCCATTCACATTACCAATGGGTCACTCAAACAAACCATTTGCTTACTTACCTCATGCAACTCTTGAACCATATCATACGGTTTTCCGAATTCTAGAATCTGGCTCGTCCCGTCGCACATGCAAGCCTCGCGTTCTGTGCAGGGCTCCTCTTTCTGAAGCGTATCCGCCGGCACTTCGACATGAGCGCTCGCCTCGGACACTGCTGCAGATACGCCTGCAATTTCACAGTCTAAGCAAATCTCCTGTTCTGCAGTTGGCAGGGATATACCCCCGCCTTCCTGTGAATCCAGTGAAGTCTGGGCACTCTTCTCCATGCCAGACTTCTTTAATCTGGGTAAGAATTTACCAGATTCCAGTTCAGACTTCCCATAGTAAGGGCCCTCGCACTCTGCATCCTCCTCCAGGGGTTTAAGATCTGCCTGTGGATCATCAAAGGGGTCTGTCTGACCTGGAATGGGAAGACTCATTTCCTCTTTTTCAGACTCTGCGTCTGACACGCTGCACCAACCTGGAGACAGTTCAGAGGCAGATATGGGCCGAAAGTGCGTCCTCGGGGATATGCGGATGGCCCGATACTGAGTACGGTTGATGCCGTACAACCGTGGACAGAAGGGCTCGTTGTCCGACTCCGAGCACAATATAGACTTCGGCTTAAACCCTGGGCTGAACGAAGCCATGTCCTCAGGTTCAAAGGAGCATTCCACATGCAGGACTTGAGAAAAGGGGTTATTCAGATCCAAGGACGAAAACGGGTAATCCAGTCCTTGCTCCTCTCCACAGTAGCCTCCGCAGGATCCAAGTAAATCTTCATGGAAGATAACAGAAAATCCCTTATTCAGCCCATCTCCTGCCCCTTTGGTTGCCTGATCATTCTGTCCAAAGGACACCAAAGGTCTCCAGAGAGGCTTATGGCCAGGAGCAAAGCAACTGCCTGTGTTCATGAACACATCTGTCCCTGCAATGGTTACCACATCAGAGGAGGCTGCTGCACACTGCAACAAGCTGCCACAAGTGTCACCAGGCGGAACCACAGTCCATTCCTTGTCATTGCTTAGGGTCTTCAGCTCCCCGTATACTCCTCCAAGAATAAACGACGTGCTGTCCTTCTCCGAGGGAACATCCCAAGGTCTAGCAGGTGTTGTATAATCCCCTCCATCTATCTTGGAGACTTTATTTTTGGCCAGTCCTTGGTCCTCTTTCTGACTCTCCCACAGGTGGTACTCTGAACGCTGCACAGCCTTCTTCTGGACAGGTTCGCCCTTCACCTCAACATCGAGACAGCAGCACTGGTAGCTGGGCGTCTCCTCTGAAAACAAGTTCTCACTTGCTTTCTCCACTCCAAGTGCTAACACACAATCTCTGTCTCCAATAGCCATCCAAATGTCTTTTATTATTCCTGAGCTGTAATCATCACTTTGTTGGTTTGCATCATCTGAAAACAAAGCAGTGTTGTACTGTTTGCTCTCATCCTGCTCTAATGCTATTCCACAAACAGACTCCAGTTTAGACACCTTGTTGAAGGTCTGGTTGGACACTGTGCCTACACTCATTTCGTCTTGCTGGTGACTTGGGTTCTCCTGCAAAAAATCAAGAATTTCTTCCTCCAGATATGAAGCTGGGATTGGAGGAATTATGCAGCTGACCTCCTCGCTGCCAAACTGAGCCAACTCATCCACCTGAGCACCAATTTGCTCGCTGTCTGAGCGCGTCTCCTCCGAGTGGGACCATGGACTACAGGTCCTTGTCGACAGGTTAGAGCAGTGTTCAGTTTCATCAAAGGCACTGTTTTTGGTCCAAATTAGCAAACGGGACTGTTTGTTTCCAAGGGGATCTAGACAGCTACTTAAATCTACATCGTCACGACTCGGTGTAAGCGAGTCACAGGGAAAGGGGAAAGCAGAGCTATCGCACTGCAATTCAAAGAGCGAGAAGCAGGAGTTTAGGGCAGACGTGCTTCCACTGGCTTCTTGAAGGTGAGGTTCCCCGAGAGCCCCAGGAAGCCTGTTAATGTTAAATGGCACACTGCCCAACACTGGGGAGAGTCTACCTGGAGAGTCACCTGCACAGCTTTCTCCTTCCAAATCCTCAGAACTAGAAGATGAGCAGCACTCCCACACATGAGCTATGTTTTTCATATCTTGCGTGAGGGTCACGTCAGCTCCCAAAGCTCCCAGAGAATCCACCGTTATTGCACTTTCCCCTTGCAGCTCAAGGCCATCTAAAACTATGTGACACCCTGTTTCAATGTCTCTCGGCTCGCTGCTCTTTTGCCGAATCATGTTTAAGATTCGGCTCTCTTGTACTGCATCTGAGGCACTAGGATCCAATATGGATTGATATATATCAACTTCATAGAAGTGAGTGAATTCAGACAGATGCTCGTCATCTAAATCTTGACCATCCTCAGGAGGAGGGCAGCTTGAGGTCCCGTTCAGTTCAGTGGCCTCCTCATTTCCTTCACCAGACACTTCAACGAAGTGCCCATCCACAAATGTACCTGCTGCAAGGTATGCCCTTTGAAAAAAAGAGTTGGCGATGCAGATCCCTTGCACCCTCTCTGACAGATAGTCCATATCAGTGGACGAAGCCAGGTCACTGGGGGAGTCTGGTTTGCTTCGGTACTTTGTCTCAAGTTTACTCTGGCTGAAGGGGACGAAATACTCGGAGATGGGCTCAGTGTACCAAAGGGGTTCTTCCATATATTCCTTATTGTTACTAGCCTCACCTCCAGACTCCTTCGCCTCAGCCCAGGTGGGATCTTTCCGAATCTCCCTTAATGGCCTCTTGCCTTTTTTCATGTAGTGCTGCTGTTGCTTTGAAGAGCCTTCGGTGGCACTGCAACTGCTACCTGTGTTTCTACGCTCTTCTTTGTCAATAGCCTTAAGGGCCAGCTTAACTTGCCCACTGTTGCGCCCCTTTTTGCTTCTGCTGCCAACCTCACGAGACTTGTGTCTGATCCGGACTCCTTTGCTATTAGACGTTTTTGCATCACCTTGGTTACCACTGGAGCTTGAGCCACCCTCACTGGAGCCAGAGGACCAGGATCGGGGACGGTGCCCCAAATCAGATCGGTTTCTGGCCTGCCTCTTGTTCTGGGAAGCAGCCTGATCATCAGACACCCCACTTGCACCCCCATGGTATCGGTTCTCCTTTTCTTTCTTGCTGCGCCGCTGCTGGGCCTTCTCATTAGCTGTGGTGGTACTCAATGCATCAGGCGTTTTGTCCTTGAAGACTTCACCTTCACTGGTGCAGTCTTTTGGGGAGGATGTGTCTGTGCTTGTCTGAGGGGCAGCAGATGAGGATGAGCTGGAATATGTGCATGCTTTAGCCTTGTTCCACACTGTCATTATCTCTTGAAGACAAACAGGTTTTTCTGAGAGTGGTGGAAAGGCTTCATAGTACCTTTGAAAAGAAATAAACAAAACGCTAGAGGTTGTATGATCCATAAATATATTTCATTTAAATGAAGTATTTATAAACACTGCAGATTCAATATAGCTAATACGGAAATTACACAGAGCCAGCTCATAAAACAGATTAAAGAAATCCCTTACATTTCCACCTGGTCTTTAGAGGATGGTGATTCAGCTAATTCAGGAGACCGAGATTCATCAGACTTCTTAGTTGCTTGCTTTTCCTTTTCTGTAAGACAATCACAGAAGCATAGTTAAGCAAGGTTTCTGATGCACAACACAGCCCCTGTTAATTATTAGGCCATACTGCAAGCGGAGGAGAAAGAGCAACAAACCTTTTTGTTTATTCTGAATGTCCTTCAGTTTGGAGCAAAGCTCCTCAACCAAGCTTTCGATTCCAGAGTTCTGAGAAAGAAAATTCATAAAATAACACATCAGCAAATTTTGTTCAGTGTAAGTTAGCACAAACCCAAAAAGATATCACTTGACTTAAGTGTAAAAGAGAAGTCTGTAACAGGCAAGACTGAAGAGCCATGAGCTGTTATTAAAAGCAAGAGCATGCTCACCCATGCCCTGTGTTAATTTTAGATACAAGAAAGCTAAAGATAAAAATATAGGCCTGTCAATATAACACAGAAAACACTGCATACAGCAGTGTGTACAACAGGCAACACAATTTTGTCCTTTAGAAAAAAGTTTTACAATCCCAGTAAAGTGAACTGTGCTGTAAATGAGCCCTGTTTAAAGCTAGTCTATTTTGGGACAATCGTGTCAAACTCACAAACTGTGTTAGACACATACCAAATGAGACCATTCAACACCTCTAGAAGCTTCTAAACAAAAGCAGCTGAAGTTTCGTTAGTAAACAGACATTTCTTACCATGCCAGTAAGAAAAGTTTCTTCTGTGGCCCTTTGCTGGTTCATTAATCATCGTGATGATATTGAGCAGCTGACAAGAAGTATGTGTGACTATGCACTGAAACTGAGCAGTGAAAAAGTCCCAGGAGGACTTCTTCGTATTTTCCTTCTCAAGTCTCAGGCCCTCCCCTTAATGCTACTGTTGCCATCCCAACCCATGAACAATGCTTTCATCAGAACTAGCCTGAATAAAACAAACCACTACTGTTAACTTACTAACATCTCAATGATCAGTTAATAATATACAAAAGTAAGCCTAGGCAAAAAGATATAATTTATCCTGCTAATGATAAAATGTCAATATGCTTTTCTGAGCATATTATGGATATTATCAGCACTTGAACATGGACCAACTGCATGTTTTATTGCACAGAGAGCAAAATTAATCCTGTTTAATTTTAGTGCAGCTCAGTGAGTAAAACACTGAATAAAAGTTATTGTAAGCCAACTCAAGCTGTCCTCCACAATTAGAAAAACAAGTTTTCCTGCCTCTCTGCACTTTTAGAAGTAATTTTAAACCATATATGTTTTTTTTTTCATACTGGAAGGATAAGTGACTAAACATCCCTACTTTCTAAAACACTCTTTTAAAGTACACTGTCAACATCACCATAACTCTCTAACAAATGTTCCAGATACGTTTATTGCTTCATTACCTTTACATGCACAACTTGACTATTGATGGAATTAACAAATTAAGCTACCGATATTGCTTCACAGAATTTGAATGGACATAAGAGGAACCGCTTATGGTATATTATTTAATGGCCCTTGGTGTTACAAGGCATATTTATATGTATGAGTTGCAACGCTGGACTAAGAATGGGGGAAAACTTCATGCAAACTAGGAGTCACTTTAAAGCCAACAGCTAACAGGAAAGTGAACCATGTTTTGGTCAAGGAGCAGAAACTCTTACTTCGTCTGAGGCAGAACGCAGGCATTGTACAGCGGCTTGCTTCTTCATCTCCTCCAGACTAAGGTCCGTCCCGCCCTTCCTCCTGCTCTTCCCCCATTTCTTCCCTGCTCCCTTTTCCCAACCCAGGAAGATGTCGTTCTCCTGCGCAGACACATTCAGAAATGTCAAGGTCTCTTCAATCACACTGTCGATTTGATAAGAACTAACAAAATAAACTTTAAGACGGAAATTTACAGTGTAGCAGCAGTTTGCACAGCTAATTATCATTCTTCTGATCAGCTCTGAGAATTGCTAGTGACAAAAGTGAGCCACAAACAGTGTAACAAAGATCCTCAATCTTGGTTCTTCTCTAGACGCTCCAGTAGCATTAAGCCACCTAGCAGCATGACAAAGCGCTCTTTTGTATTCTCTTAAAACCGCTGATAACTAGACATGAAGCCAAGAAGACTTTAAGAGGCATGTGAATCTTCTAGGTTCCACAAAACTGTCAATATTTCTTTCTGTTGGTGTCATTAGTTTGTGTACAACATAATGTGTAAACTTAATGAAGATACAGCAAAGCAGCACCACTCCAGTGGCAAAGATCTTCTTGTAAGCTGCTACTCTTGGTAAGATGGTAAGATCTTCCTGTAAGCTGCTACCCTTTTTGCTGCAGCCTAAGCTAATCTCACACCATCTTCAAAGTGCACACAGCGAGATACATCAGTGCATTAAATTCGTCTGAGCTGAGCAGAGTTCACAAACTGTTGAGGTATGTTGTGGAACAGTTAGTGACTCTTCAAGACACCAACGAACATAAAACCACAAATGTATGAATACATGAATAAACGTCAGGTGTTGATCACAGTGTAGAACCACTGACAGAAATGGAAACTAAAATGGGTCTTATTAATATTATTAAAACTTATTAATAACTTTTCTCTGCCTTCTGTAGAGGACTGTGTCAATTACTGATATTTGTGGAGGCAAAGATCATTAGAATGGTATACAAGTTTACAGATGGCCAATTCAGTGAGACGGCAAATACCAGTCAACATCGTTTTATTTTTGTCGCTAATGATGTTGACTGGTATTTGCAGTCTAACTGAATTGGGAGTCTGTCTGTAAACTTTTCACACTGTAGATCAGGGCCGTCAAACTCAACCAGTAAAAGGGCCATATTAAAAAAATCTCATCAAACCTGTGGGCCAAAGAAAAAAAAAGTGTTTTATCTCATCTTTAATTAATGTTGTGCTGTAACTCGAACTGGCTATTGTTTATTCAAAATATGCAAAAAAACTTCAGCAGTAAAATACAGACACTTGTAGTAGACCTTGAAATTTTACATGAATACTTGAAATATTCTAAATGTAAATGTCCTCAGGAGCTCAGTCTTTTAAGCCTTTCCTATTTGCTTGAACTAAACACCTGGCATCTTTTCTTTGCTGCAAGTTCACTAAAACTTGGGCTCGTGTTCTGAGCTGCTGAGCTGACGTTAAGTGTTTATACCGGTTGAACTGCAGCTGAAATGCATTTGGGTGATATGACTGGTGTAGAATTGTGGTGCAACTGCTGTCCCATAGTTTGTTTGTGGGGTAGGACAGTCAAAGCGCACATTATGTTGCAGTGCATGCTGGGGACTGTAGTGCAGCGCACTGTGAAACGGGCTAATATTAATAGTAAATTAAAAAACTGTTGTGGGCCAGACAGGATTGTGTGGCAGGCCTGATCTGGCCTGCGGACCTCGTGTTTCACACATGGGCTGTAGAAGAAGAGCCACTGTAAGTTTTCCCAAAAGGAAACAGTTAATTTTTCTAGAGTAGTGTATAGTTTTCCTCCAGTTCACTTCCACAAGGCACTGGATGAGACAGCCAACAGAGCAAAGTAATATTCTCCAAAATCTGTGTTGTTGTTTGCATCTCATGATAAGACAAGGCAAAGTGCTTAACTTAATAAAAATGTGATTTTATAACTCATTTTGGACAGTTTCTCATCTATTCTCTATTCTCATCTAGAATAGACAGCACTATACTTAATGGGCTAATTTGTAAATAATTTTATGCCAAAAAAAATGTAAAGTCATGTGGCCACTTGCATAAAACAGTCTCTATCCCAAGTTACAAATTAAATGTGCTAAATTAAAAGACGTACATTTAAAATTTGCAACAGTCAAAATGTGCTGACCTAAAATTAAACTTAGGGTTAGGAATTATTTTGAGTTTTCACTTAAAGCATGTTTCCTGAAGAGATTTTATGAAGCTCATTTAAGGTCTTAAGGCCAAAATTCACTTAATACATTTTATGCAAGTGACCACTGAAACCTCCATACCTGGTCCTGCAGGTCATAGTCGTAGCTGTCATGCAGCAGGAGGCTGAGGACGTATCGGGTGTAGATCATCGCGTCTATGCCACATTTCTCCAGCTCCTGGCCCAGCCAGCTCTGCACTGGGCCCAGAGACTGCAGCAGGGACATCTCCGAGGGGGGCAGCGAACCCAGCACGGGGTAGGGCCGCAATACGCTCTCAGGGGGGGCAGGACCGGACGACTCTCCGCTGACTGGACGCATGGAACTCTAGGTGGGAGCCATTCTTAAGTGCAAGGGCATTCTCTCGGGTAGGTTCGAGAGGGGGCGGATGGAAGCCTGAAGGGGAGAGGACTCACTCCAGTTGGACGGACAAGGGGAGGCCTACATGAAGGTGCATGTAGAATTTTTTTGTATTATGTTTTTATGATATTAGCAAGGAGAGGTGCTCTAATCTTCAGGCATGGTTAGGACAGCTGGTAGCTGGCAGCTTACAGGAGAACACAGAGCGTGCTCTGTTTCAATCAGAGACCCTCATGTTGGAGGACAGCTGGCTCCAGGAATCACCTGACAGAAAGAAAAACACAGATAAAATGCACACGTTTATAACTGTTCAGTGCACATACAAGTCCAATCTATGGTATAAGAGCAGAAGCCAATATTCTACCCATAATCCCACTGTTTCAGAGCTCCAGAGTTTGAGGACTGTAGCACTGAAAGAAGAGTTGTGCAAAGAACTGAACAAATTCCAGTGTCAGGCCAACAAGCATTGATCTTGAAGAGCTAAAAGATGATTGATCATATTAGGGATTTTGTTCTGCCATTTGCTTAGCTTGGGTTTACACTGATTTGGCTACACCGGCCACTTCAGGCGTTTAACATTCAGCTGCAGTGTAATTTAAATGCGATTTCTCTGTCAAAACAAGCTAGTTTACTTAACCTGGCAGCAAACCAGAGTCAGAATCAGCTCAGATACAACTGCAAAATAATGACACACATTGCAATTTACTATTTACAATTTAGCAAGTATTACATTTTATCACCATCTCTTACAATATTACACAATATCCAGTTACATTACGTAATATACTGTTTGTAAATTCTGGAATTTCACCTCATACTATCAAACACAAATCACACAATAGATTATACAGTCGGATTGGCTCAGCTATGTTTGAAGCTATTCAATTTTGTATTTATGTATTTAAAAAGCTTTATGTTGCTTAGCCTACTGTCAGCAAACTACATGCTCGGCGAAATAATTGTGTATTAAAATTATTATTGGATAGGTATTATAAAACGGATAGTTCCGGGCCTAAAATCTCATTGGCTCGGCGGCGTTCGAAGCCGTTGTAACATACAAGATATACACGCACCCATGAGCACCTCACTACAACTGAACTCTGCATAACTGCGCCACATCACAAAAAAATCCTTTGCTGTTACTGGAATAACCACTGACTCTAAAATGCTGCTTGCATGAACCACTGAGTATACTGATGAAGTAAGAACCTGTTTTTTGTTTAAACTGACAACTTATTTTACTAGAACTAGGCTGGTCGGCTAACTAACAGGCTAAAAGATAGCTAACATGCTAAACAACTCCATCATTAGTATCACAGGCTTGAATTAAAGTACTCACGTTATGATTAACTGTAAAACCGCAGCATAAAAGTCTAAAGAATATCACTTGACTGGATTACACACTTCAAATGTCTGCGTTTCAGTCAGAAGTCACGTCAAACCCAGGCCGAGTCTCAAACGGCTCTGTACCCCCTAAATAGTGCTAGCTATGTGTGCTATTTGTTGAGCATGGATGTGGCTGAATCCCACATGAGAATTTTTTAGCTATTTTCTGCTCTGTTGGGCTGCAGGATCCACTATGTAAATTCCTATGTAGTGCACAATGTAGGGATCAGGGAGCCATTTGAGATTCAGGCCCATTGTTGGACGAAGGCGCTTTGGATTGGTACTAAATAAGACTCGAGGTGGCAATTTGGTGAAAGTACTTATAAAGCGAAGGTTTTTGCCCTAAACAGTGCTGTGTTATCATATGTTCACTGTTACATGACAAAAAGCTAAAACGTTCATGAAATGACTGCAGTGTACAGTGATGGGAGACGGTCTTCTCCTCGTTCAGCAGTCCATGATTGCTTGGCAACGCTACTATTCTCTAAAGAACTACATTTCTTGGCGAAATATACTTGTTTGTCAATTATTAATAATAATAACTAATTATTTTCCTGAAAAATTGTCTATTTTGTCATATTTTATGTTGGTCGACATTTTCTATAAGCAATAAACCACTTGAAGCTGTGCTTTACAGCGATTTTATCACAGGGAAGGGAGTTTTAGGCACTCTGCTTCACCCTTCCCCATGATAAAATCGCAGTAACGCACGGCCTCTCATGGCTTATTGCTTTATTGAACGCTGGTGTATTATAGATCATATATGGCAATATGACAATATTTTCTGAACATATTGTATCATCAGTACTTGTAGACACTGACCAACTGCACATTCCATTATAAAGAGAGTAAAATTAGTCCCATTTAACTGGATTTAGTGCCAAATATTGAATAAAAATCAACGTATTCCCAGTTTTAGATAGTATTTTTTAAATGTTGCACTACTGGCTCCAAAAAATGAAAATTTCTTTAAGTAAAACAATATTACTTTTGCTATATCGCCCACCTCTAGAGGGAAGTTCATTTGAGTGAGGAGAGTATTGTTTACTAGCTGTTGTTAAGACGCGAGTTATCCTGATCCTCGTTAGTTGTGTACTCGAGTTAGTTTCACTTTCACAGACGTGGTTAGTTTGCGGCTGCAGCGAGTTATACCTTCGTAGCCTGCTGTGGTTAGCACTCTATTTACGTTTGTAGAGCTGTTTTGTGTTGGATGTTGTCAGTGTGAAGTGTGTGATATGTGGTCCATGTTGGTGAACAGCTTTGTTGTTAAACAGCACCTCAGAGTGAACGCTCTCCTATCGCAATGTATGCATCACTTGTGCATTGAATTAAAAAAATAAAAATGCATTTAAAAAATGCCATTATCATTCTCCCCAACCTCATTCATTCTCTATTACAGTAAAAATAAAATAACTAGGGTAACATTTGGTAAAAAAATGTCTGATGTACATCTGGTGTTTTTTCCGCCACCTTATCATATCTTGTTGTGACACTTGTATTGTGATACATCATACTGTGAACTTGCTGACAGTGTGGAGCCTTGGTTACAAGTGAAAAGCACTGTAGGAAAGTGTTTTGTGCATGTTTTCAGTGGCATGCCGCTCAAGCTTAGTGGCAAAATATATACTTGAAGTGTAAACTTTGCTATTTGAGCTTCATTTTGATGAAAGGTGGCTAGTTTAACCAAACTCGAAAAGCTCTACTGTAGATCATAAAAGTGACTAAAGGTTCCCATTTTGTGCTGTTAACTGTGCCTCACCGACAAAGGCTGTGGATAACAAAGGTGACACCCGATTCATTTAAATATGCCTGGATCCGCTCCGATCCTGATCTGCTGGACTGAACCGAGACACCTTTACTTCACACTCAAGCAAGAATCACAAAAAAGATTTAAAAATAAATATATCAACACTGTGCCAATTATGTAACTCCAAAGGCTGTATAGAAAAATTATGCCCTAGGCTTTAATTCCTTCCGCACCCTGAGGAACCATCTGTTACATTCCGCAGGACTAGGGGCCAATCTCATTTCACCACTCGCCCCCATCGCTTAGCCCCACCACTCCGATTTGCATGTTCACGTCTAGGAGTAAAAAAATTATGATAACCATTGGATTACCTTAGTTTAATGTTGTTTCATTGTATTATGGTGATTTTCTTCATAACAAGCATAAAAAGCACGTAGTAGTCTTTTAGCTAACTAGTTGTAAGTAGGAACTTCCGAGGAGGACTTGAAGGCAGCATTACATTCTGGCGCCATTTAAGATGGAACAGAAAACTGGAACAAGAAGCTGGTGAATATCTGACTTCAGCTTCATATCACTGAAGAATTAGGGGTGGGTGCCCCCCTCTTTAAAGGCATATAATTCCCTAAATGTAACTAAAGCCCAGCAGTGAGGAGCTGAACTTTACCCTCCTCTGCTGTCACTGCAGACTGGCAGGGTCGCCCTACAGAGCAGCGCTGGTAGCTGTTAATGAAGTAATGCTTTTTTTATTTGAGGGTCCCATTTTGTAAGGAAGATTTCAACCACTACCCTGTAACTCAGTTCCAAAGGGCAAGGTGACCCTCTAAAACAAGGGGTAGGGGTGAAAATAAGAAATGGGATTGGGCCTAGAAGTGCAAACGTGACTTATCAGAGCTATATTGACAGTGAGATGGCCATCATTCCCTCACAATGGGGCCACGACCAACAGGCCTCTTTTGCACTCCTGAGTGAGACTCCAGTGTTATCCTGCACAGGAAGATAAACCCCAGGAGGCAGCCTGTGTGTCACAAAGCACGTTCAATACATTTTATCAAGGCAGCTTGTTTTGTGAAGCTAAGCATTCTGACATGGTCAGGCTTAATCAGCATCACAGAGGAGGTTTGCAACACTAAAACAAATGATCTAGTGTTAAATCTTTTACCTTTAGATTTTTATCTATTTTGTCTTTAATACTCAGTTTTGTATATGGTTTGACTTGCGTATCTTAAGACCTGTAACGGAAAACACCGTGACTTGGTTTGGTCTTGTTTTGCATCACCAAATTTGCATTTCTTTTTCAATGTGCTGTTCTTAGCAGTCATTCGTTTTAAGCAGCAGCATAAAGATTACATTCTCAATATAAATGTGTTCCATACAGTATTTAAAATACCTTCCAGCCTCCAGGAACCGTCCTATGAGGGTTCTATATAGCACCAAAATGGGTTCTGCTACGGTTATGATGTCAAGATTGTAATGACAGCAGAACCCCTTTTGATGCTACACAGAACCATTTTCAAAATGGTTTTCTATAGAACCTTATACAACATCCTCCACCAATCTGCAACCATTTCACCATGCAAAGAACCATTTAAGCACACAAATGGCTCTATAGTTCTATACAGAACTATTATCATTACCAAAGAACCCTTGAAGAACCATCTTTTTTAAGTGTGTATTATAATAAATACATTATACACACACATCACTACAACACGATTTTCTGAGCATATCATGGATATTGTCAGGACTTGAAGAACCGGTGTTCTTCTGCATGTTTTATTACAAAGAGAGCATCATTTTAATATAACTTGGTGCAGCCATAAACAAAATTAATGGTAAATACAGTTTATCATATTTTTAATTGTGGCACTACTGGGGCTTTTTGTCAGTACCAATTTGCCAACCAAGACATCATGATATTTATCATGTTTTGTGAAAACATCTCCAAGAATCATGATATTCTATTTTTTACCATATTGCCCACCTCTACTCCTGAACCCGATCGTCTGAGTCATAATGTGCTACATGCAGCATGTAGTCAACTGAACTGTAACTCAGTTTAAAGCAGCACTATGTAATATTATAAACTAAAAGGAGCAAAATAACAGTAAAAAAAAGTATATAATATAATTAAAAAAAAACAAAAAAAAACACCACAACACTAAAATATGGTCAGCTTGCGCTGCTGAGTTGCCCTGCAAAGCCTGAAAAAATTATTTGAAAGTCAGAGGCATCGGGTCGGGAGTTTCATACCACGTTGTACGCCTTTACATATTAACGTCACACACAAATCATCTCAAAATCTACATTATACTGGTGAAGATATGGTGATGACTGCAGATAATTCACTCACATTCTCAGAAGACACGTCCTTCACCAAGTTTTGAGTTCTCCTTGAATTTTCTTTCAACGCTCTAGCAAGTCAGATTCATCCGCTTGTGGGGGTCCAAAGCACAACCCACAATACAAAATGTTCTTCCGCACATTGCGTGCGATTACACGTTTCCACCAGAGAGGTCTCCGAATCCCCAAAACCTACATAGTGTTGCTTTAAATTACATGAGAATAAAATGTTTCATGTTTTACTTGCATCTTTTTGCAGCCAAATGTATCCAATTTTTATAAACAGCTAATTTTAAAGCTAATTTTGAGTGGCTTTTAACAAAAAAATTGGAGCAATATCGACATTAGCCAATACCCAAGTTTCAGTATCAGTATCAGAAAAGAAAGTGGTATGTACACAACATATAGACTAATTGTACTGCACACATGCATTGTACACAGCACCAATATTTCCAATCTGCCAATGAATCATGGCCACTTCTTTACACTGCAAGATTACATGCTATGCTTTCAGAACAGGGACACATCTCTTTTTGGTGAAAAAGATAAACTTCTGTACACTACGGGAAGAGTTCAGTTATTTTAAAAACCACTAGGTTTTAGATTAGGGCTGGGCAATATGACAATACATATCGTTATCATGATAAATTCTGTCGAAATACAATATGCTTTTCTGGACATATTGTGTTTATCAGTGCTTGAACACTGACCAACTGTGCGTTTGATTAAAGAGAGCAAAATTAGTCCAGTTTAACTAGATTTAGTGCCATTCAGTATGCCAAATATTTAACAAACATAACTGTTTTCACAGTTTTTAATATGTTTTTAAAATGTAGCACTATACTGGTTCTTTTTTTCTCTGTTCCAACTGATCCAATGTCCAAAAAATGAATATTGTGTATCATGAAAGGTACTGCAACATTACATTTTGCCATATCGCCCAGCTCTAATGTCAACCCCCCCCATAATCAACATCATCTCATAAACTAATGACTTGTCTACATACAAAACAGACTAATTGTTTAAGACCTGATTAAACACATGCACTGTACACGCCACCAATATTTCCAATATGTCAATAAAACATGGCTATTTTTACATTGCAAGATAACAATACCGCTGTTGTTGGAAGAAAATATTGTATCTCCAAAAATAACAACAGGAAAAGGGAAAAAAAACTACTTTACGTTTAATGCAAGTCAATGGAATCAGACTTTTTCCCAAGTAATTTTGGATCACTTCTTTTGGTCCATTCAGCAAGAAATTTACAGACAATGTAAAGGGTGAATTATGTCGAAAACTGAAAAGCGTCAAAAACGGAGGTTTTCTTCCAACAACAGCGATATGCTATGCTTTCACTACAAGCACGTATGGGGGTGTGGGTCTCTTTTTGGTAAAAAAAAAAAGATACTCTTCTCCAGTGTACAGAATTTCAGTTATTCTTTAAACCTTTGATTTTAGATGTGGTGTGGGAAAAACGAGGTGATCACGTAGAGAAGAAACATTCCTGAACTGCGATAACGTCCAACCAGTTTTTTCACTTACAGTAGACAAACCAGAACTACATACCTAAACATACCTAAAACACAGAACAAAAAAAATTGGTTTTGAGTGCGGCAGCCAAAGTACAGCCTATTTCCCGATACAGAAGTATGCATTTCCCCATACCAAAGTATCTATTTCCCCTAGTGCTCCTGTCCGGCAGCCCTGAACAGGAGAGCTGTTTAGCTGTCACTGGTGGGCGTGCCTGTCACTCGGTGAGGCGGACACGTTTTGGGTAAAGCTCACAGACACCAGCAAAGCCTGATAAGGAACTTTACTGTCAGAGCAATGCGCCAAAGGGAACTGCCCGGTCATCTGTCTCGTTTTAGTTTCATTTTCAATGTGCAAATAAAAGCAGCTGATATTTGTGGTCACTTGCAACGCACCCACCGACAACCAACACATTTTACCAGCTTTGCAGTCTTCAGATTAACATCGGGAGCGAAAAAAGCAAACTGTAACCAGCCATTCGTAAACCGCAGTCATAAATAAATAAATAAAATCATACAGTGAGGCCCTGTGCCCTTGTAGCATGCGTGTGTGCGTCCTTTCATACTGTTGAATTGTACGTGCATTCACACCAACCTCGCAGCCGGTAGTAGCCATTACAGTCCTGGGTTATTTATAGATTAACTCGTGTTAGTGCAGCTCTGACACTATTCAGGCTTTTCAGGCACTCATATGAAGCCTCTGGAAACGTCAAACCCACCTACTGTACAGGTTAAACAGGAAAATATATCGTTCTTGACGTGAATCCTTGTTTACGTTGAGCCAAATGACAGCTAAGGAGGTCTGGCGTAGTTGTATTTAGCGCCCAGCTCATCCAGATGAGCCAACCCTTTGGGAATCGTCCACAAAACCTAAGATGAGTGAACGTTTGCACATGTTTCTGGGCTCTATTTTTTTCTGGGATGAGCAAAGTAGGCTATAGATAGATAAATAAACCGGCCAGGTGATCAGCTAAGCGTTTAGATCACAGACAACATATTAAAATAATCAGAAAAGCAAATTAAACTTGACAGGTTCTTTCTCAAAACTGCTGCAATGGCAACATCCACAGTGCGCACAAATACACAGAATGTAGGTTATGTCAATGTTACAGTGAGCCGGCTACCCGCTAAGCCAAGCTAGGGTCTGTTTCAGTTCGCGTTTAAGAAGCTGGCCAATGTGTAAGAGTATGATTGTACAGTAAAGGGACCGAGATTGCGATATATTAAGCAGAAATCCGACTGTCACCGCCGCTGGAAGTTCATTTTTATCATTTATTTTGATTCTGAATTCAGCGTTAGCGCTAACGTAGCGTCAGCTCCCTCTTCGCCAAGCTTCTTGTTCGAATTTCACCGGTCCACCTTAAAGAGCGCGGCAGCTACATTCTGGCGCCGAAGCGTCAGAACGTAACTGCCACACCATTTAAGGTGGAACGGGACAATTCGAACAAGACGCTGGAGAAGGGTCGAAGGCCTGCTAATCCCTCAATACACCGCCTAATCCACCTCCAGTCCGTCATTTATTCCCAACAAAAGTCGCCCACGGTCACAACCAACAGCACAAAACGGCAAAATTAACCCCCGTCTGTAACATTTATGGAGTTTAACGGCCTTTAGCTGGAGGTCGCTGTCCGCTAGTTAACATCCGGGTACCGTAGCCGACCGCCGTTAGCTTAGCTCAGCTAGCGCCGTCGTATTGCACAGACGTTTAAAAATCTGCCAAAGCGGGACACAAACCGCGCTTCTGACACAAACCGAAGACCGCGGTCGAGAAACAAGCAGCCGCAGGACCGAGAAAGCGGACAATAATCTGTAATGAAAGTGTTATTTTTTACCTGCCGTTAAAAGGAGCAGAAGCGGTAACTTCTCTCCCGCTGCGCGCCTCTCACTCCGCCGTCTCCACGGCAACAAGCCGAAGGGCGACCGCCCTACTAATCAGGGGCCGTGTGCCTGCGCCGCGCACGATTGCATCAGAGGATGAAATAGTCCGTGTTGTGAACGTGCCAGCTAACAGCTCCTAGGTGGTGCCTAACGTGGCTGATGACGTGGTGTAAATAATAAATACACCAGAATTAGTGTTAAACTAATATAACGCGGTAAAATGTTGGTTAATCCATTGTTAGGACACTGTAAACTTACCCGGCAGAAGGCCTCCACACTAACATCCTCTTTTATTCTGATAAAAATAAGTTTCCAGTGAAGTGTGTCAAACTAAATACGTATTTAGCAGTAAATAAAGAAGGTGTGGTAGGCTTGTGAAGTCTTAGCTGAAATGCACATTCATACATTGAATTAAGTTTCTGGATAAGTGGATGTTTATTGTTTATTATTGTTTTTTTTTCCTTTATTTAAAAAAAAATATATATATGGCCAGCTGTTATGAATATACACTAACACATACGTAAATCCGATATATGGACATACATTGATCAGATAATGAACATACGAGCATATTATGTAAATCATACTATTTGCTTTTGAATATCAAACTAATTTTAAAAAACAAATTATTAAACAAATTATATCAAAAACTGAAAAAATGACAAAAATGGAGATACAAGGTTTTCTTCCAACAGCAGCGATATATATATATATATATATATATGGATGGATTAGCTGTGTGGAGCTGCAGTAAGAACATCAGGCCGTTATTTGCTTGTGAATATTCATGTGATTGGCACGAATTTAAAGGTGGATTCTATCAATTTTCTGCATTCAGAGTGGTTTAGTGTAAAATGGCTCTGATGTGTTTACAGTGGTGGTGAAGGGAGATAGTGGAAATATTGAGTTTTCTTTGGGGACTATTTTGCCTCACAACACCCTGCATGTATCCCTCCACCATGAATAGAGTTTTAGGCCAAAATCTGCTCAAAACTATCATAAAACAATATCTCAAACATCAGGCAGTGAATTCATAACCATTGCCTGTAATAACTTTCTGTGAGGGAGACTCTTAAGTTTCTCTAGAACGGAGCATTTCACACCAAATCACTCTGAACGATTCTGTTTACTGTTTAATTATGCAGACATTTGGAAAAAGAGAGAAAGTTTTTAGTCTAAAATGTATCTCACTGTACGCTGCATTACACAAGGACTGAAATTAAGGCCTTTAGATCATATTTAAGGCACTGTGTGCTCAAGTGATCAATTTCTTAAATAATTGATCAATTAATTAAATAATTACTCCGTTTCTGCTGTTGTGCTTCTGACACCGAAACATGTGATATTACTTGTATTATTGTAAAAATGTTTTTATATAATTCAGTTTCAGGCAGACTATAGATTAAAGGGCTCATATCATAGAAACCCACATTTTTCTGCCTTTTTTTGTAAAAGTTCACTCAGTTCATACAGTCCACATATGGAGACTTCGCTGCAAAAACAGCCTGTTTTAAATTCACTGTTTTGTGACACCAAAAAACCAACATGTTTACATATTCCGGCCTATTCAGCCTGCAGCAGTTTAGCTCTGTCAATTTGCGCTGAAGTTATAAGGAGTGTTTCAGGCTGGACTGCTTTTTCGATGATGCATAATACAAGGCAGCCAATCAGAACGGAGCTCATTTACATACAGTGTATCAGTCTTAAAGGCACAGTAACCAAAACAGCCTGTTTAATTCTATGAGATAAAGACAGGCTGGAAAATGGTGATGTAAAAAATGAATTCTGACTGTTTTTGGCACATAAAACCCCACAAACGCTGTAAGTGAACCTCGGGGAGAAAAATGAAATGGAAGAGAAATGCAGGATGTGGGCCCTTTAACTCAGAGTTTGATCTGCAGAGGTCTTGGGGGTCCCCTGGTGGAGGGTCTGACTACGAGGTGACCTATAAAAAATCTGTCATAGGTGTTGTGCTTGTTACATAATACAAACAACAACAATGTTACCAATTAAACTTTCCTGTGAATATACAGTCGTGTGCAAAAGTTTGTGCCCCCCTGGTGGAATGTACACATTTTTGTTTATTTTTTAAAAACTGAAAATAAGTAAACACATCCTCTACAGAGAGCGCACTTCTGCACATTTTAATATTTTATAGAACAATTACTGTTCATTCGCTGAATTTAACATACTGGTGAAAATGTACAACTCAGTTTATGCTAAACTGAGCAAATAAAAAGTAATTGTGCACTAAAATCTGCCAGAAAAATGCCTTTTTAAGTGTGTTTTCATTGTGTGATGCTTGTGTGTTCATGTTTCTTCTCACAATAACTCTAAACATTATTATATATTTGGTCAGAAATTCTTATTTTGGTCAAGGGAACAGCACGGGACCCCCTAAGTTCAGTTTTGTCTATAGTAAAAGGTCACTGTTCTGTTAGGGGCAGTCCAGGACCCCCCCACAGTCCAGGACCCCCCCACCCCCCTCAGGTAGAATTAAGCAGGCATCTAATTTTAGTCTATACTCTATACTCTGTAGCAGTGATGGATGATGATGATTTGTTATCGTTATTGTGATAAATTACACCTCAATGTACTTTTTGCCCAGTGCTGCACAGTAAGCCTCTGTTTCGACTCTTGGCCGATGACTCTGAGTGTGGAGATGCTTGCAGTCAAATCTGTTGTGTTCTTAGTCATAAGTGGCTCGAGGGACATTTTGACGGAGGTGAGCGTAAAGCACTGAAGAGTTTGAGTTTAAGTAAGTCAGCGCTCGGCCAAAGCGTTTGGGAAATGGAGACTGAAACTGGAGACGGCGACGCTCTGATAAACAGCACAAAGCGCTGAGACCATATTATTAACTCTCAGTTTATCACACTTCAGTTTTGTTTGGCCTTTTTTTGTACATCAGATCGGATGGATTTCTGACATGTCACAAATTTTGGTCGCGTGTCTCACAGTGTGATCAGCCTCACGGACCGATTTCACAAAGTCGCACCCAAAACCACACACAGTCACCACCACCGCTCCTACACGGAGGCAAAGAAGCCCACATTTGGGACAACAGCGTCCGTATATGACGACTTTGCTCCGTGTGACTGAGCTGAATTGGGTGGTGTAAATAAATACGGTGATGTTTTGTCTGTAGAGCTGTCTGTCTGTGAACCGGCTGGTCCTCAGCTTCAGCGCACAGAGTGGCACAAGTTAGCAGAGCTGTTTTAGCGGTTTGTCCATGGCTGAATCTCAAACGGCCCCTCCTTCCTATGTAGTGCACCAAGTTCTGGCTTCTACACCATAGTAGTGCCCTGTTTGTCCAGTTTGGAACTGTGGACACATGGCTGAATCTCAGAAGGCTAATTATTAGACACGTGATGCACTTTATGGGTGCAGGAGCCACTATTTTAATATGTGGTGCACTATGTAAGGAGCAGGGAGGCTTTTGAGATACAGACAATGAGGGCGTTTACATGCACTCAGTAATCTGATGGCTAAATAAAATTCCTATCACCACCACTGTAAACACATCTGAACCATTTCACACCAAACCACTCTGAATCTCTCTGGAATCATTTAGAAAAATCAGCAGAAAACCCCTTTAAGGTAACTGGTGCATCGTTTAAGGTGGAATGGAAAATCTGATTAAGTAGCTGGCAAATAAGAAGCCAACTTCAGGCCTGTGAAAAAAGGAAAAGATAAAATCAAACTGCTCCAGAATGAAAACCTGGTTCCTTTTCAAAGAACTGAAAAATAAATATAGAAATGGTTTCTTTTCAAGGAATTAGGGTATTGATTTTCTCCGTACATCACTCCGAGTTTGCCCTCGGCCCTCATTATGAGAAACATTAGTCAGCTCTAATCATTTGTGGAGCTGCCTGTTATTACTTGGTGTAATCTAGGAATTTTTGTCAGATCACTCCAATGAGTAGCTACTCAGAGACTCGGTAAACGTTTAGGACGGTTTGATCTCTGTTATTTCCCTTCATCACCGGCTCTGGTGCTGCGCTCAGGGCCACAAATCCATGACATAATGGCGTAGCTATTCACTGATTGGCTCTACATTTACATCAGTATTGTGCTACACTATCTTGCATTATTTCAAAGTCAGTAAATAATCAAATAAGTTCTGATCACTTGCAGTCACCAAATAAATGAAAGCAGGGCACACCCATATGTATACTGGAAATGCATGTCAAATACGTGGCAGCCCACACTGAAATACATTCAAAACACTAAAATGTATTTCAGCATGTTTTGCCATAATAACCGTTTAACAAAATATATTTTAAAATGCATTTATTTTTAAATTGGGGAAATGTTACACATAGAAATGTACCATACAAAAATAAACGTATGTAAATGTATTTATGAAATACATTTAAAAACATATGAAAACAGCCAAAATCCTGTCTGATGCTCCTCACTGTCTGATACCTTCTGAAATGAATTTGTATTCCAGTATGTTCATTTTAAATATGATCAAATGATCCTTTAACAGGACAGAAGCGAGTGTTGTGGGTATTGATACTCTGTGAAAATGCAGTTATGATCTGATATCTTGTTTATGTGAAATACATTGTGTGTGAGAGTCTGACTGCAGACGTACATGGTTAATGCAGACCACAGACGTCTGACCTGTTTACATACTGAATAAGTGTAATAATGTGTAAAATGTCAAAATAACGTAAAAATGTAATAAATAATTTAAAAAATATATTTAACAAATACAGTTTTGGCCATTTTCATACATTGCAAAACGTATTTGATAAATACATTTGGAATACTTTTTTTTCATATGGGCAGCAACACTTGCTAAATGTTAAACATCACTGCTAACTGGGAGAGAGGAGCTGGTGTGCATTAGCTTAGCGAGCATGCTAAGAGCTCTTCTCTCCCCAGAACAGGTTCGATTCTGACTGACAGAAGCACCAGATCGCAAGAGGACAGCAGGCCACTGTTGGCTCACTGACGGCACAGCTGGCAGCCCACTGACGCTTTGCTCAACGTTTTCAGGTTGGTCCTC